AGTTGGATGAGTAAGACAATGAGGCTGGAGAGATGGCTCAGAGGTTAAGAGCACTGACTGCTCTTCCAGAGGCCCTGAGTTCAATTCCCAGCAACCACATGGTGGATCACAACCTTCTGTAATGAGATCTGGTGCCCTCTTCTGGCCTGCAGTCATACATGCTGTATACATAATAAATAAATAAATCTTTTTTTTTAAAAAGAAAATGATCACATTGAAAAATATTCGAAGAATACACAGAAAATGGACAGAGACACAAAATGTATGAGGCACCTGGGGGATGCGAGGATAGTAGCAGTGTCAATTTCTGTAAGTTTAAGATGAAAACTAGTAGAGAAAAAGGGGTGTGTTTGCACAAAAATAGAGGGAAATTCTCCATAGTTAAAAACAGTGTGAGACCTCAGTCTTCAAGGGCCCAGAGAGTATTCAGTAGCTTAGGTAAGAAAAGATCATCTTGGTTCATCCAAAGCACCAAACATCCCAGCACATTTGTACACACACACACACACACACACACACACACACACACACAAATTGTAGGCAGTGTGTGGTGAGATTGACTTCAGATTCTAGGGTTCCTTATGAACCTCAATCACCATTGAAAATAGAAGGTAAGGTGCTGAGGGAGCTTCCTAGCAGACAAGGCCATGGGTTCAATTGACAGAATGCAGCCATAAAAGAAAAGAAAAAAATCAGGGAGAATAAAAGTACTTTCAGGCATGTTTGTGGAAGGGTAGACATGTGACAATCCACTTGGGAAAATCCTCTTGGGAGAGCAATGTGTATAAGAAGAAAATGCAAGCCGGGCGGTGGGGCACACGCCTTTAAACCCAATGCTCAGGAGTCAGAGGCAGGCGGGTCTCTGTGAGTTCAAGGTCAGCCTGGGCTACAGAGTGAGTTACAGGAATGGCACAAAGCTACACAGAGAAACCCTGTCTCGAAAATAAATAAATAAATTAATTAATTAAAAAAAATAAAAAAAAACAAAAAAAGAAGAAATTACAGCTATATGAGAAGTAAGGATGGTTTGATATCATATGGTAGATTAGAGCTTGACATTCGCAAAGAAGGTACCATGAAGCATACTATGTGTGCAGTATGCTCACAAACAAAGTTATTAGAAATTGAAAGGGAGAAGGCTGGAGGGATGACTCAACCCAAGGGCTTGTCGTATTGGTAGCTAATCTTTCTTATTAACTTTACTATATTAGGAATCAACGAAAACCCAAGCAACTGGACACAAGACCCACCTTACATCTGGACCACACATTCCCATGGCAGCCCACATGAAACAGCAGGGAAGAAGGAAGTTTTGCTTTTCACCTGCTTGCCATTCTCACTGACAAGTTCGTCTGTCCTGTTGCTCAGAACTTATTTCACTAGCATTAGAACCTACTTCATGAAGATTCCAACGTAGACTGAAGGCCAGCTGAAATATCCAGGCTCCTAGACTAAACAACTACTTGATTCTTGGACTTTCCTTTGAGAGACAGCCATTATTGGATTAGCCAGACCATAGCCCATAAGCCACTCTTATAAATATCGTGTGTGTGTGTGTGTGTGTGTGTGTGTGTGTGTGTGTGTGTGTGTGTGTGTAGATAAGACTTGGAGAAAGGCTTAAATATTAATACCATCTGCTGCTCTTGCAGAGTAACTGGGTTCAGTTTCTAGCACCCACATTAGGTGGCTCACAATTGTCTTTAACTCCATTTCCAAGGGGCTCTGCACCCTCTTCTGGCCCAGCAGGCACCTTTATGTGCATATTGCACATACAGACTAGCAGGCCCATGCACGTACATATAAATTGTAAAAATTCACAAGTGAGCTGGGCGGTGGTGGCGTACGCCTTTAATCCCAGCACTCAGGAGGCAGAGCCAGGCAGATCTCTGTGAGTTTGAGACCAGTCTAGGCTACAGAGTGAGTTCCAGGAAAGGCACCAAAGCTACACAGAGAAACCCTATCTCGAAAAACCAAAACAAAAACAAAAATTCACAAGTGATCAAAAGAAATTGTTGTACTAATAAAAAGTGCAATATAACAAGAAAATAAAACTATCATAAGTGACCATAAACCTTGACTAATATACTCACAAAATATATAATGCCAAATTAAGCTGATACACATACAAATTGTCAGTTGTTACTAGAGCAGTGTCATGTTCCTTTCAAAAATATATAGACCCCCAAAGTATAGTAAATAGAAATTGTAAGTCACAGGCAATAGTTTAGATGAATCTAATTAATCTTTGGGGGTAAACTGAGACATTTGCAGCCAAGAAACCACAGAACATATATTCTTATTGATCACACATAAAACATTTATAAAATTGACTAAAGGAAACTACAATAAATTATTTAAAAAAATAATTAAGTGAAGGGATGGAAGGAAAGAAAACATGTCAACCGAGGGATAGAAAATGAAAGATTTTATAAATATGTGTGTGTGTGTGTGTGTGTGTATGTATGTATGTATACATTAGAAACCCTGTGATCTAAATGCAAAAAAAAAAATAGAAAATAGAAAGTAATTACAAAGAGCTTTAAAGTTCTTGTGGATTTGGAAATGAAGTATGTTAGTAAGCTGACCTCTATTTACAAAAATCAGCATACAAAAAGAATGCTTAATCAAAATTTGCAGGAAGCAAATTTAATTGTGGCTCTCAGGAAGGATGTTTTTGAAAATAAGGGAAGATTAAAATCTAGGTAACAGAAACAAGAGCATCATAAGAAAAACAAAAGGAAGATGGGGATGAAAGGCAAGGATAGGTTTACATAGCACAGTGACCTCAGAAACACAACAATGCTAAGAAAAACAGTGTATTATACCCCGGTCCGATTTTGGAAAACATTATTAATGGGTAATTATAATATGATAATTCAAGAAAAAAGACTGGAGAATTTAAAATTTAAAAATGTGTTCAGAAGGACAAAGCCACGAAAGTCAAAATAGCTTGAAAATAACTGTAATAAATTAATGAGGCAGTTAAAAATTAAAAAGCCTAGTTGGAATAAACATCTACAGTAAATGGTAAAGTGAAGGGGAAACAGAAACCGAAAAGCTATTAGAAAAACAAAATTATAAATGACGCATGCTGTTGGAATAAACCTTGAACAAACTCTGCCAGGCCTCGACCAAGGCCCTATGTTGAGACTCTAGCCCCTTCCTGCTTCAGTCTCCCACTATCTCCCACATTCTGATAGCCAGGGACATGCAGTTTCTAAAGGCCTTGTCTGAGTGAGAAAGCAACCCTAGCAGGGAGACCTTCCCTTTCCCCAAAGCCCTTGTACGAACTCCAAGTGTCCCCTTCCCGCTTCAGCATACATCCTTTTCTGCTGTTTCTGCCCCTGGCTGAAAGAAACAGTCCCATCTGCTGAGGTCAGACTGGGCCCTTCTGGCCTTCTGGCCCCTTAAGCTGCCTCAGAATTCTATCTCACATTGCCTGGAACCCCAGAATCTCAAAAGGTGGGGGAGGAATTCAAGGTCAGCCTAGAGCACCAAATGAAAGAGACCCTGCCAAAAAAATAAAAATAGGAAAAAAAAAATCTTCTGTCCTTACTTAAAGCTTCAGATTTTTATAGGTGAACTCTATCCAACATCTATGAGACAGTTAATTCATGTTTGTCCAAATTGTTTTTAAAAAAATAACAAGAAAATCACTAAAACTAAGCGATAAACAGAATGGGATTCTATGAGCTGAAGGTTCCCAAGTTGAATTTTTGAGAATCTCATCAAGTTCACGTAATATTCATACAGAATTAAGTTATAAACAACTATTATTATTTTTGTCAGTGAAAACACAAGGGTAGATGCCAGGAAAATGGCTCAGTAAGTAAAGCGCTTGCCACTCAAGGATGAAAACTTGAGTCCAGGTGGTCGGTGGCCATGTAAAGAGCTAGATGCAGTAGCAGTTCCTATAACCTTAAGGGTTGAGACAGCTGGATGTCTGGAGCTCATTTACTAGTCCATCTAGCCAAGTGATAAGTGTCAATTTCAGTAAAAGACTCAGTGTCAAAAACTGGGTACTCTCATGTGTTCAAACATGTACACCCAATGCCGCACAAGCTGAAGTCCTTGCTGTCCAGTGACGCCCTAGGATTAAGAAATTTTATTCACTTGTGTTTTATTTTCTAAGGGGAGGGTTAACCTGGATTAGATATTCTCACTTCCTAAGCTCTAAATAGCTGGCTCAAGATAATCCACATTTATCATGCAACAGGGTATATCCAATCAGCATAAGTAAACCCTTACCACAAATTAATTTCTGATTAAACACTTTAGCAATTAGAATATGTTACCAATTATCAATTATTTAAGTGCTAACATATCACAGCACTTAGCCAAGTCTGGTTTTTATAAGGACTTCAGCTAATCCTTCCACTAAGCAATTTTGCCACTCAGTAACAAGTAATAAAGCCAGTTTCCTCCCAATATGTTCAGCCTTGCCTGCCCTCATGGAATTGCCCATTCTCTTTGTTACATATTCATTCATGGGCTTTTTGATTAGTACTACAAAAAAGCAGGGAGTCTAATTGTATTCTAAATTTCAGATAAAGGACAGTATGTGCAAATATGCCCCATATTTTATATGTGGTATGCAACATCTAAAATCTCTCCTTGTAATTCTAAGCTATCTTTCCCTTGAACCTCACAGATGAAAATATTTAGGAATATTTTTAATTTTTACCCAATTTTGTGGAACTAGAGCCTATTCTATGGTAATTTTCATTGCCCATAGAGACTCAAATCTGCTGCCAGGACAAAGGGAGAATCCAACAAAACTAAGAACCAGTTCCAATCTACAAAGGAGAGGAGAAAAGAGAGTATTCAAATTTTGGTTGGATTTGTTTTGGTTGTTTAACTGAAACAGGGTCTCACACTGTAGCCCAGGCTAGTTTAGAACTCACTGTGTAGCCCACTCTGGTCTCTGACTCATAGAAGTCCGCCTGCATTGTCTCCCTTAGTTCTAGAATTCCAGGTGTCCTAGTTTGCTTTCTGTTGCTGATATAAAAGACTTCTGAATAAAGTAAGTTGGGGAAGATAGTATTTATTAAGCTCAAGCTTCTAGATCACAATTTATCATCAATGGACGCGAAGGCAGTAACTCCAGACAGAAGCTGATTGAGAAACCACAGAGGAACTCCTAGCTTGCTTCCAGGCTCCTCCCATTCAACTACTTTCCTTATATAATCCAGGTCTCTCTGCTTAGTGATGTCATCTCCCACAGTGACCTGAACCCTCCTGCATCAATTACAAAAAAAAAAAAAAAAAAAAAAAAAAAAAAAAAAAAAAAAAAAAGTGTTCATAGACATGGGCTAATATGATGGAGGAAATTATTTAACTGAGGTTTCCTCTTCTAAGGTCTGTCAAGTTGACTAGCCATCATGTCAGGTTTGACATGCATTTCAGGTTTGACAGTGTAATTCAAAATCACTCTTAGTACCACATGGCTTACAAGCAGAGCTATCCCTAGAATACAGGGCACTCTGGTTCCAAAGCCATTCCCTTAACATTTGGCCTCACTGAAATGAATGAGTAGACAATTTTGTTGCACTGTGAGGCCATCACTCATGAGGAACATGATCTTCATCAGCACTAGGTAATGACCATGGGGTCCCTAGCTGCACTGGATGATGGCACTCCTCTGACTTCATCAAGCTGTGTGGGAACTCAGTCGGCTGTCCCAGGGAAACCACAGCTGAAATACCACTGTAGACAAAGAATGCAAGGAGAACCCATAACAGTAACTTGGAGCCCTGTTAGTTAACTTATCCTGATTCCTAGAGTTTCAGAATATGTCCTCTGAAACCTCCCTGCTGTACTCACCAATAAGCAAAAACTGACTTTGAATTAAGAGAGCCTTTAACAAGCCAGTGCCCGTCTTACCTGTCCTCCATTGAGAAGACACGTGGCTCCCGCCCTTAGGAAAAAAAAAATCACTCTGGTTATATAAGCTAATTATTCATGCTGTTTCTTTTGTCTTTCTTTTTCCCTCTTAGATGATGGTCATCTTTAAGAGAATCCAATAGCCTTTTTAAGCAGGAGATTAAACTAATAGGATGTAAAAGAAAGTAATAATTCAAATCAAATAATAGCACAGTTTAAATTTACTCTATTTTTTTTAATGACCCATACCCTTATTCTCCACTCTTAACTCCACATGTTCAAAATGGTAGAGTGACCCAAAGTCACCTTGAGTCCATCTACCCTTCCAACTTGAAAATATTTTTTTCCCTTTGTTTTGTTTTTAGTTTCCATCAGGCAGAAGGAACTGCTCTTAGCTGTGAGACCACGCAGCCCTATTTGGAAAGCTTTTGTGAGTCCCTGTAGTATAATGATTTTCCTTCAGAGAGCATGTAATTTTCGGTTCTTGCATAACAGCACAGATTTTTAGAGTATTATTGAAGTTTGTAATTTTATTTCCCTCTGACAATTAAGTGCTCACTGCTGTTATGGAGGTTTTTTCTTCCTTCTATCACATTTGGATGAAATTGGAAGGGCAAACTTCTCAGCATTGGGAGTACTCAGGACTAGAAGTGTAAATATTTTGTGATTCCCTTGCTGAAGAAGCATTTCACACATAGGCAAACCCATCACGTCACTATTTGTTTGTTTTCAGTTACAAACAAGCTGTAACCTAAAGCATATGATGCACCAACCCAAAACAATCAATGTGCCATTTATGCATTTCCTTTGTTTAGGAAATAGTTTAAGAATTTACAGTACATTAACTCAGATGTGGAAACTAACCTTTCTGCAGAGCGGGCACATCTTCCAAATAAATTCATTTTCCCTCAAGAACTCGTCATTTCCCATCAATAGTCACATCTCTTTCTTGTCGGCTGCACTCAGATCTGAACAGTAAAATCAGCCTTCTAGAGAGACCCTCCTTGCTTCCACTTTGGTGTAAATGAGACACATCACCTTTCTATTCCTGGCAGCTGAATGCAAACATTTTCAACTATGAACGAAGCAGCCCCGTGTAGACCTGCATGATTCACCTTGTCCCTTGGAGGCAGAGTGAAAGCATTTCTAGAGCAAATGATGAGTGTTCGGTAGCAATTAAGTACAGGGCAATTTGCCTTTGACTCCTTTGGAATTGAATTTTATGATTTACATAAGAATAATAATGCTCTCCTTTGTCTTTGGTCGTGTGTGTGTGTGTGTGTGTGTGTGTGTGTGTGTGTGTGTGTGTGCGCGCGCGCGCGCGCATGCATGTACATATGCCTGTGAGGTATATTTGTGTGTGCTCATCATGTGAATGTGGGTATGGAAATGCCATGCACATATGTGGAGGTCAGAAAACAACTTCAAATACTGGTCTGCACCACCTACCTTGTTTGAGACCATTTTGTTGTCTTTTTGCCAGACAAGCTCATGACCTTCCAGGAATATTCCTGTTTGTGCCTCCCATCTTCCAGTAGAACAACTGGAATTACAGACACTCATCCTGATAAGTCTGGCTTTGACATGGGTTCTGGGGATTCAAACTTAGTTTCTCACTCTTTCATGGGAGCACTTTACCCACTGATACCAACTGACCCATTTTCCAAGCCTGATGGTGCTCTATTAATCTTCATCCATTGTCTTTAATCCATTTGAGGATGATTAGATTTGCTTAATGTGGCTTCTCCTGACATGGCTTATTTGTTCAATGATCTGAGCCCAAGAAAGGGTCCAGAGCAAATCTGAAACCTAGGTTGACTCAACCTTTTCCTTGTAGTTTGGTACAGCCACTCTCTACCCAAAATTGCTCCCTATAATAGCTAGATTTCATGTTCTTTTCCTCTTCTGCTTAGGTTTGTGCAACTGGGGTGCTAGATGAATATGTGTGATCTTCTTTTAATGGGATAACTCTACCATAAAATCTACTACCAGTCTTATGGGCTCTCGATTCTTTCTGGCACATAAACATATTCTGTTACAAATAATCCTTATGCTAAAGCTTTAGCATTTTATGTGATTATGTTAAAGATCAGGTCACTGAAGAGGTAATTAAGAAGAAATGGAGTCATCTGGTAAGACCAATAACCAATATGTTCATGTGAATATATAGAAGAGAGCCCAAATTCTCTCTGTGGATAGGAAGCAAGGAAAGATTACATGAGGATCTACAAAGTAGACTTTGGCCAGCCAGAAATCCCTTACCAGAAACTGATTATGCCTTATCTCAGAATTCCTGATTCTAGAACAGGAAAATAAGTTCCGTTGTTTAGTGTGTCTACACTGACATTTGGTCATGGGGATCAGAACAGACGAATATGCATTCCTTGAAAGAAGTTTCTAAGAAATATTTTTCTGAAACTGTCGCTATAAATTGTCTTGGGTATAGCAAAAAAATAAAATAAAATAAATTTTTTTTTTTAAAAAAAGCCCACTGAGTGCTCTGCCCACTTTGGAATGTCACGCCTCTTCAGAGATTTCCCAGGGCAAGATGTGATAGTTACTATTTTGCCTTATTACTTTGGTCCAAAAAAGCAATTCTTTGTTGCCTGTTAAAATAAAGGTGTTTTGGAATTTTTTTTGTTGTTGCTATTCTTGTTTTTTGTTAGGTTTTCTAAATTTGAAGAGCTCAGTCATGGTGTGAGTGCACTGTAGAGATAACTCTGTGTTCCCGAGATGAGTGAACACAGACAAGACAAGAACCCTAAAGTACTGCTACATGATGAAGAAGGTTCTGTGTGCACTATGCTCAGGATTTCAAGGACTTCTCCAGCTAAACTGGCCTAACTTGACTGAATCCATAGTCCCATCATCATGCTCAGGAAAATAGCTAGACATCTTCACCAAGTGTATTAATATTGATTCATGACATGTGTTCTTGCACATGTGTGTACTTGTCTTTCAGTTTTATGAAAACTAGATGACTTCCGTTGAATTTCCACCTTATAGGCATCAAATAGTAGTTTAAACTGTGGGAGTTCAAAGATCCAAAAGGAGCTCATGTCTGCTGCTTCCACTTTCAGAACTCAGCATCAGATTTCTTTGTCACGAGTTAGCTCATACCAACTAGCTTTGCCTAGTCTCACTTGTCTTTCCTCTCCTAACCCCTGAGTTTTCCCATAACTAATGTACTTTAATAGTTTAAACCAAAGAATAATGAAGAGATGCAAAAAGAAATAAATTCAGGAGAGAGAATGAAGCTAACTAACCTCTATTTGACTGAAGACATTTAGTCTTATTGTCCAGTAAGACCTCAGAGACCTTTTAGTTTGAGGTCAGAGCATATTCATTCTGTCTGGACCTACTACTGACTAGTTTAATTAACTAACAGGATTCTTGCTGTCTGTCTGCACCAAATCACTGTGGTCTTTGCATTCTCCCCCGAGTCTGGCTAATGAAACTTAAACTATGTCCTTTTTCTCTCTCCCCTCCCCCATCTTCCATTCCTGGGGTGACTTTGCAGCTTCCAATTGGATTGGGCTAGGGAGAACAGCCCGTGTGTAAGCTGGCCAAATTTAAAACAGGATTTATGAATCCTGAGCAGGATTTTCATACTGTCTATATCACCGTGAAATTATCTCCTGGGTCCATTTAGTAAACAAGACAGCAGGTTGAAGCTGGCTGTTCTCAAGACCAGCAGAGAGACTTGTGATTATGTAGTGGTGCTGGGACTAACAGGGCTTTAGTTAGAGAGGTGGGCTTGTACAACTCAGCGTTGCTTTTCTGGTACCCACGTAGGCAGCAACTGGAGAAAGGCATGTTTGCACAGTTTCTGCACTCATTATTAATGCACAGCATATATTATTCAAAATAAGCAATTATCCCAAAGAAAATAAAACTATTTGCATCTCCCAAGAGAGAATTTGCCCCTCTGAGGAAGCCGGTGTCAGACAGGGAGCAGGAAACTGTGGACTAGGGCAGAAACGGCTTCGTTTCTCTCTGCAGGAAAAGATGCAGGAGACAGAGGTGCGCGCTCACCCCTGCACATGCTGGCCCTGCCCAGCCTGATTTTACTCAGTCCTCATACATGTATAGCATGGTCTTTGTGTTTGAGCTGAACTTAGTTCCTGCATAAATAAGAGGTCCACATTATAAGCACATGGATTCTTTTTTTGAAATTTTAAGAACATTAACAATGGAAATTGCTTTTCTGTACATTATAAAATGATTCTGTTATTGTTTTATAAAATTTCTTGGCAAAGCCTTATTGTGTGGAAATAATTCTTTTGTATAAATCCTCACATATCTACAAGAAGTTTTCCAGAATGTTCAGAGCAGTGCTTTTCAAATTTTCTAAAGCAATCAAATGCCCTGTGTATGTAAGAATTGCTTATTCTTAATACCAGGATCTCATATTAATGGGTAAATGAATAGTACTCAATAATTTATATTTTTTTAAATTTCCTATATGACTCCAAAGCAGAGATTTTATGGACCACCTATAACAAATACACTATTTTAAAGTTGAGTATTCAATAAGGCAGTCTTTAGCCCATATAACAACTGAGTACCAGAATGTAGGATGGTACAACTTACTATGTGATATAACAGTAACATATGCATTGGGATTATAAAACATTTTTATAAGAAATAAATATAGAATGTTAGATTGATTGTTATATATGATTACATCTTGATATAATATTTTGAGAATATTTTGAGTTAAGGATCACAATCATCAGAAAATATCTTACCCATTTTTCTTGTTTAACAAGTCTCTTTGAAAGTTTAAAATTGCAAACATGTTCCACATTGTACTTCTATCAGACAGATACTGATAAGAGGATTATGCACAGACTTGGACCAAGATGGTATGTTAACCAAAATAAAATGGAGGGATAAAATACACTGAAAGTGTGAAACCAAATTCTATCACCCAAGGCACCTTTTAAAGAATTATTTTTGTTTTTAATTATAGGCATGCACATCTGAGTGTGAGTCTGTGCGTGTGCAGGTACCTGTGGAGGCTAGGAGATGGGTATTAAACCTCCTGGAGCTAGAACCATGGGTAAGATGCTAGGTATTGGTGCTGTGAACCTGAGGATGATTCTCTGGGAAAGCAGTAGGTCCTCTCAACAGAGTCATCCTTCCAGCTCCAGATTATCTTAAGGTTAGACTGACTTCTAAGATCCTTGAGAAGCATATCAGATGAGAGCTGTAGAGCAGCCCAAATGACCTACTGCAGTGAAAAGGGTGGGGCCAACCAGACAGAAATTTGGTGAATTTAAGTCAGGCCAACTTTAATTCGTAGGACCCTGTCTCTTTAAAAAAGACCTAACAAGGTTTCCTGTTCTATTGGTTTCGTAAGGGCTACAAGTCTATGAGCCATTTCTAATTATTTGCTGCCTTTGACTTTTCTATGTGCTGTTTGTT